GAGCAGTGGGCGATGTCGTGGTGCTATGATTACAATGCTTTGGTCGCGATCTCAGCATATGAAGCTGGGTGCAACGCAGGCAATGTAGAGGCTGCATGGTAGCGATCTTCGCCGCCGGTAAATGATATGTGACGATTGATAATCACAGTTGTTATTATAATTCTTCTGCACAAGCCCGCTCACAGGAAGCTATCGGAGGCGTTGTTCACGCAATGCACGTCAATGAGAAACCTGCTTAGCCTACCCGGTGAGGTGCCGTAATGGCCGACTAGTTAGCGCGCCAGACCTTCACGTCGGGCCCGGTTCCGAATCTCGGCTGCACCGTGGCCCTTTGATGCCAATATGGCCGGTGCAGTTGCTGGCGCTTCATAAGGGGCTTCGCGACATGCTCTGCGTTCGTTTCAAGGAATATACCATCTTTCTAGAAATTTCACTTCTTGTTAGATCAGACGCGTACGATTTGATCAGTGCTACGAGTTTTCTCGACATTCCTCTGGATAGCTCAGAATTTTGATTTGAAGTAGCCGGCCCTGCGTGAGAAATCTCCTTTGACTTCCTACTCACCAGTATGAAAGTTATACGTTTTACTTGCCTTCTTTTTCCAACTTATGTGTTCTGTAATGTTTGCAACACACTAATAGGCAGTTTCTCACGGCGAAATTACAATCTTACGCCAAGTAGCAATGTGCACTTTTGATTTTACAAACCATACATTAAGCCAGTTTCTCAAATCCGTCACGTGACCTTTGTCGTAGCTTGAACCTTTGGCAGTGGCGTGGATTTGTGCGCCCCGTTGGCAAAACAACGACCGCTGAACTTAAGATAATTCTAGCAGCCATAAACATAAGGCTTTTGTTTTGAGTATGTATACCTTAACCCGAACTGCCATCGATTAAGACAGAATAATATATAAGTTTTCAGTTGCCTGGCTCGACATCAAGCCAGCCACGTGAGCATACGATTGTGGGGATATTATCTCCAGCTACATTTATGACGCTTTGGTTGAAAAGCAACGCTTATCAGGATATGAAAGCAAAGGGACAGGTGCCGGTGGTGCGGTGGTTAACGCGTCTGGGCGCGAGGTTCGATTACCCGCGATGCCCGCATTTCCACCAGGCTGAGAGGTAATTGACACCATATAGCCTAAGCAGCTGAGTGCGTCCTAAATCCCCAACGACGACCATGAACAAAGGAAGAGTACGGTTGGCAGTGTTCAAGAACACCAGAGCGAGAGAGAGAGAGTGGGGACAGCTCCCAGTCCGCAAGAAATTTGTGTGATACCACTGCCCGTCGACTCGCCCGTGGCGGTGTGTACCCACATCGCAGCAACACCATTTAGTTGCGTCGACCGCTGCGCGTTTTTTCCATCGACGCGCTGTTTTTGTTAGTCTCCGTGCTTTGTAATAAACAGATCAACGTGTGTTGTAGATGTGTGTGGCCTGGTGGAGATGCGTGCAGAACTACGGATTGATTTTGGTGGCAACGCTGTCCATGATTGATAAATTCGGTGAAGAAAACGAGCTTCCATTCATCACTCATCAGCTCCTTCAATGCTCAGTTTCATCCTAAAATGTTCCACTCATGGAGGCTTTATTTTGCATAGCGATTGTGAGCGAGATCATGTGAATAGTAAGTATGTACAGCCTGTGCTCACTAAGCATATCTTGGGCATTGAAGGTGGGACTGTCAGACCTTAGCCTTCAGAGCTTAAGGGAATATGTGAAGTAAACACGAGCTGTCATTGAACACTGAATAAGGGCCATTCATGAATCCAATTATAAGCAGCCTGCTGTACTTGTCATTGGGAACAGGTTCCTTCCATGTGACTGATCACTGAAAGTAGGTTTCTATCATATGATTTTATGCAGGCTAGCTGCTGCCTTATGCGATAGTGATGCACAATATTTGATTAACCTTTAGGCTAAGATTTTATTAACATGTATTGCACATCATAACGTTTTCAACCAGAGTAGGCACTTCAGGCAATGATGCTGCCCATATCTCACTTTGAAAGTGTCTGGAATACAACTTGCATAAACAAAGAATGTATGACATTTATGACAAGTATTGTGACAACCACACAAATTTCTCTCAGCTGGGATGTATTTTGATGTTCTTGCAAAGTTAGCTCCTTGACCAGACAGTTTCACCTTATCTTTTGGTATTGGCATGCCTCAACCAAGGCTTCTTGTCTGAAAGGCTGGAACAGTCGCTACTACTTGCTCACACTCAAGTTCTATGCTCTGTTATGCCTTTTGCAGCTGTTGCATGTTGTTTAGTCTTGCCACCTCAGCAATTTGCCTTTCAATAAATAACAATTATAAGGTCAGTGTTATAATCTATGATACAAATGCTTGTGTTGATCGCAATGCCAAATTCATCAAGAACTTATCAAAGCTCAGCTCTTTTGTACATTTGTTTTTGGCTTTGAAAAAACTCAGGCGAAATGGTTTGCGTATATTTGTGTCGTAGACTGTGCATTTTCTGTGTATTTTTTGAGTGCTATAGATTGTAGTTGTAAGTTGTATATTTTTGCTTTGAGAAACTGGATTATACGATTGCACGCCAAAAATGTACGAATTTCTGTTTTGAGAAACCGGCTATAAATGTCGACATGCTTTTGTAATAATTGTTACGAAAGCTTGAAATGGTCTGCTTAGACCAAAGGTGTGCAAACATGAAGTTATTATCTCGCGAATTCAACGACACATCAAACCATGGTTTTGATTTTTCCCTGTTTTCCGCTAAACCATGGCGTTTACCGCATTGGCTCTTTTTGAGGAGCACTTTGGCTTCAGGAATAGGAGTATCACATAAACCAGAGTGACGCACTGGTTCAAACCTCAACCAATGCGTTTCTTGGTAAAAAGGCTCCTGCCGCCTGCTGGGCCAATCGCAAACGTTCTTTTATTTACATCAGTAGAGGTACGCACGATAGTTGTCATGACGACGGTGGTCGCGACTGCAAGGAAGATGCTTAGTGCTGTTAAAAACGCTGACAGGGTAATTTGGGCTATAAAAAAGCAAAATTGATGTTCTATGTATTGACGGTGCTGCAATGGCACTACTCATTACTATTATTAGACCAACTAGTTCTGAGATTTCACTGGATTCTATTTTTGAAATATGCCCCAAAGGTGGGACACTCCCTTTAATAGCAGAAGGCCACCATCTGATCAATATAGCCGTTGCTATAACACGCTGCACTGAGTGGTCTCTGCGTGTCTGGCGGAAGGCACGGCACCACGCCTATGATTACCGGTGGCCAATAGCCACCCCGTGCCGGCCGCAAGCCCGGGCTTGTGACTAGGGCAGTACAAGCCGCCCCATCGCCTGCCCCGCCCATCCCCATTTGCCGTCCACGCAGCGCGGCTTGCGGGGGGCCACTGGCTGCTGCCGACACCGGCGAGGCGCGGGGTCGACGGGGCCACGGCGGCAGCGGCCACAGCCGAGGCGACACTGTCTTTTCTTGTTTCGCGCTGTTCTTACGAAGCGGCCCCCGCACGGTTCAGACCTCGGCGCGCTTTGTAAGTCAATATGAGTCGTGTCGCTGGTCTTAGTTCCGCTAATTAATTGATGCGCGCGTTTAAGTGGGATAAAAGGATGAGGCTGCAAAGATCAGTGCCGGAAGCAGCGGACGTCATCTGCCGTGGAAGCGTTCGGCACATGCTGTCTGGCGCTTCTTGTCATCTGTCAGATAGTGTGGCGCTTTACAGCGTAGCACGACTTAGCCGCGCCCGCGTCTCCAGGGATGGAACTTAGCCGCGCCCGCGTCTCCGGAGATGGAACTTCACCAGATCACGGTGGCGGTGTTACGATTTGGAACCCTTAGGAAGTTGGACTGTTAACCGTGAGTGAGGTCCAGGATTAAATTGGTTCGGCTCACAGACTGAACTTTGTTATTGCCATGACTCGAGCAGAGTTAACTTCCCTGTGTCGGCAGACACCATGACACATGCTGATGCTTACGAGTCTCTGCTTGCAACGTTAATATAAAGTATTACAAACGTCAACGTTCTGCTACACTAATCCTACACTCAGTACAACTGCGTCAAATGCACGGCACAAAATCAGCCGTTAACTGCTGAACACCAACACGAATCAGCAGTTGACCGCTGTACACCAACACAAATCAACAATCTGAGTGCTAAACTCCGACGCCCCTAATTTTCGGCATCGCCCAGAGACGGCAAAACAATGTCACTGATGTATGTTTCGTTCACTGCCGTTGGATATAGTTCGAATAGCATGCTCAAGTTTTCATTGTTTACGCCGGCCCAGAGGCCACGCGGACCTGCTCTTAGACCATCGCCCAATGTAAGCAAACAAACTTCGTAACTAGCAAGTACGATGCGCAAGCCCCGGACGCACGTGAGACCGACCAATCTTTTATTCAACTCCGCAATGATCGATGCCCTTCAACAGCATGCGTTCTGGACAAGTGGGGCTTCGCATAAACGTACTCACCATGGCGTCCACTCACCCAAATCTTTGCACGTGATGGTGCTTCAGGGCTTCGGTGGTGCTTGGTTAACAAAGCCAAACATGCGACGTCACTGGCCTCCAAAGAGAAAACATGTGGAACGCGCCGCTGTTCCGGAACAATGAGCGTGTGCAAACACGCCCCTTGCACCCGAATGGTCCGGAATCCCCGGAAGCCGCGGCATCCGTGTGCAAACACAACGTGCGGGGTCATGTTGAGGTCACAGATGGACAACTGTGTGCCACCCGGGTGTCAGCCTGGGTCAGACGGGGGGGGGGGGGGGTAATCATTCGACTTCATGCGTAGTTTTCTCTCGCGCCAACCGGGTGTCACCCTTGCACTGCCCGAGGTCACCCTGTGTCACTCGAGATTATTCTTACCGAGTTGCTCTGGGTCGCCCCCGGAGTCGCTCCGGGTCTCCGCAGGTTTTCTGCATCACCCTTGTACCCTCAGTGTGTCCCTGTCAATCCACCTTTGTCACCAGTGTCACCCCTGGTCGGCCGCGGACCTCTCTCACCTTCGACTCCAGCCCAGCCGCTCGCCCAGCGTCTGCGGCGGCCGGCGGCGACGTCGCTGCGCCAGAGCCGGCTTGTACTGCCACTGAAACATGTCCAGGTAGGCCCGCACCGCGGTCAATTTGACCGGCGCTGGCGGCGACGGGCTCGGCCCCCCGGGCCTCGTCACCCGCAGGCCACCCGGCGCCAGGTCACCGCGGTCCGCCTCGCTGCCCGTCTCGCCGCGCAGGTCACGTTCGTGCTGCTGGTCAGCACCCAGCTGGGCAGAGTGCTCGCGCGAATGGTTGGCTTTGATGAGCAGCCGCTTGGCGGGCAGGCGGGTGCGCTCGAGCGGCGATCTGCTGAGCGGCAGCTGATCGATCAGTCCGATGCTGATGATGATCAGGCAGCTGCCCAACGCGACCACGGCGAGGCGCATCAGCAGCTTCATGGCGGCCGAGTCGCGCGCTGAGAGGTCACGGCCACCACTCACAGTCGCTGGGCCGGCAGAGTCCGAGTCGAGAGTCAGCAGTCGCGAGTCACGAGGCTCGCGTCATGCGCGGCCAGCAGCACACCATAAGCGGCGAGTCACGTAGCGCACGCACACACACGCACCGGCCGGGGCTGGAGCCCCGCTCCCAAGCGGGCGCGACCGTCCGGACCTCGCCGCCCCGATTCTGCTCGGCGGCGGGACAGTGGCGACCGTACCGCGGCCCCGCCGGCCCCGAACTGGGCGCGTGTAAACAGCGGTCGGCCGGAGGCGGCGGCGGCAGCGTCGACGGCGGTGCGACCGCGACGGCGCTGCAGTCTCGACTGCGCTGCACCAGCTGATACGTGCCTTTATCAGATAGCGGGGCGTCGTCGGGGGCGACGCCGCCGCTGATGCTCCGCAGGGGGAGGGGAGGGGAGGGGCGACGCGTCAGGAATGGCCGGTGGGACCGGAGGTATTTACATGCCCGCACACCCCGCGGCGAGGGACGGGGCTGAAGAGGGATGGGAGAGGAACAGAGCAAGACGCGATAGGTGAGGAGAAATCGAGGTTGGCAGAGGGAGGGGAAAAGGAAAAGGGCACTGTAGATAAGGGCAATGGCAAAGAGTTATGAAAAATGGGGACAGAAGGGAGAGGAAGGCGAAGAAAGCGTAGATGAAAATGAGTTCGCGTGATATAAAGTGACTCACCATACAAAGTGAAGTCACATGAGCTGGTGATGAGGTCCAGATGAGTCGCTAGGGGTGCTGATGAAGCACCCACGGAGGGGTGCGGAATGACGCTGATAGGGCCCACAATGCTTCCGGCGGGGCCGCCACACCATGCAAGCGTTCAACATTGCGCGGACCAGCTACTAAAATAGCGGACTAGTGTACCGTAACTACTAAAATAGCGACTAGTGTACGTAACTACTAAAATAGCGACTAGTGTACGTAACTACTAAAATAGCGACTAGTGTACGTAACTACTAAACTAGCGACAAGTGTACGTAGCTACTAAAATAGCGACTAGTGTACGGTAACTACTAACATGGCAACTAAAACAACACCGGGAAGGGTGTAGGGTTTGCTCTGCATGGGAGTGTTTCGGGCAAAGCTTACTTGAAATGACAGCTGCAAATAACACTCGTCATCTGCCCTCATAAATCAGCAAACGGTTATACTGTTATTAAATTTAGAGCTTGGGCCATCGAAAGATGATGACAGTGAGAGATCATCGCAGACATGAGGCAAACATACTGCACTGTAAAAATAATGTACTTGCTTCATTTATTAAAACTGGCATGTCGAAGGTCACGTACCACGAGAAACAAAAACGCGGCAAATCAGCAGCTTGGAACACATTACTGGCTGTATACTAGTTGCGCAGCGAGCAATCCGTAAAAAACCGAAGCTGTTTGAACCGCTCTCGATTCGACACATAGCCATTCAGCGTATGATCTCTCAAAGTTTTAATTTACAAAACAGCCTCTAGTTGGTCTGTCAGTCTTTGTGTACAAAATGCTGCTATTGAAAGTGGTAAGAGATAAGTTGTATTTTTGTAGAATTATGAGCTTGAGCATCGAACATAAACTACAAAACGTGGACTCTGAGCTGATGATGATGATCATGATTTGAGAGTTTAGAGCGTGTCGACGTCGAAGGTCATCGGAGGTCATATTGCACTCATGTGACGCTGGGCTGCAGGATGCACATCGAACAGTTGCTGCTGTTGTGAGATGCCCATCCAAACTGTTAAATGGCTTCTTTCAGATTAAAACGCAGATAAGACAGCATTATTAAATTCAGCAAAATGCCTTTATCGGAACAATAGCTATGAGGCTCCCTCGTGATGCAGGGTCTCAGGTCCTGTTCATATTCCGGCTATGTCCTGAGGAAAGATCCTAGCCACACATTTCAATACGCCTTTGCATGGAAAGATCTGTGGTACCGATGCTTCATTTTGTTGCGATATAGGCATGAATGGTCTTCTGCTATTGTTTCGACAAAGGCATGTTACCGAAATATCAACCCAGCTTTATCTCCATTATCATGGTCTTTCTCCGAGAAATGAGTGTAATACCACTGTCTTACCTATGTGAATGATGTTCCTTGCTTATGCACTGAAGAACTTACAGATTAAAGCGTCTAAACGCATCTTATTATAGTGTTTTTTTTTCGTGTGTGATGCGATCGCAGATTGAATGGACGCCGTGCTGCGGTGTGGTGCCCGTTGGCTGGCTCTCAGTGGGTGTGTCCCACATTGCGGACACGTCCGTCACCGCTCTATAACCGGCCGTGTCGTGCTGCGGAGCCGTCCCGCGGGTCTCGGCGGACGCCGCAGCGCGGCTTCCGTTGAACGAAACGGTATCACCCAAATATGGACGATGAAGTCATTCGCCATTGCCGGCGTTGACTTGGAGCAAAATTACGGGGCGGTCTGCCGGAAAATCTGCACTGGCCTGAGCTCGATTAAAGTTTTGTCCAAGATACATTAACCACTAAGCCCGTTTGCTTTCGTTGTAGAATAATGCCTCGTGATGCAGGGTCTCAGATCCTGTTTATATTCCGGCTATGTTCTGAGGAAAGATCCCAGCCACACATTTCATTGCGCCTTTGCATGGATAGGTGTGCAGTACCGATGCTTCAGTTTCCGTTGCGGCGTAATCATGATGACGCGGTTTGCCCGGCCTTGGTCGTGCCCTCCCCTGAGTACATTTGATCAGCACCAGCGCCCAGAGCACCTGGCAACATGCCCGACCCATCGACGAGGTGGAAAAACCCACTCGGCGTGATGGACGCTCGCTCCACCGTCGCGTGGCAGAGAACCGGAGCTCAGGGTGCGGGCAGAGAACCGGAGCTCAGGGTGCGGGCAGAGAACCGGAGCTCAGGGTGCGGGCAGAGAACCGGGAGCTCAGGGTGCGGGCAGAGAACCGGAGCTCAGGGTGCGGGCAGAGAGCCGGAGCTCAGGGTGCGGGCAGAGAAGCGGAGCTCAGGGTGCGGGCAGAGAACCGGAGCTCAGGGGTGCGGGCAGAGAACCGGAGCTCAGGGTGCGGGGCAGAGAATCGGAGCTCAGGGTGCGGGCAGAGAACCGGAGGCGCTGGGGGTGCGGGACAAAAGGACCGGAGCGCTGGGGGTGCGGGAAAAGAGGACCGGAGCTCAGGGCGAGGGACAGGAGGACCCGAGCGCTGAGGGCGCGGGACAGAGACCGGAGCGTTGGGGGGGTGCGGGAAAGAGGACCGGAGCGCAGAGGGCGCGGGACAGAAGACCGGAGCGTTGGGGGTGCGGGAAAGAGGACCGGGGCGCAGAGGGCGCGGGACAGAAGACCGGAGCGTTGGGGGTGCGGCAAAGAGGACCGGGGCGCAGAGGGCGCGGGACAGAAGACCGGAGCGTTGGGGGCGCGGGACAGAGGACCGGGGCGCAGAGGGCGCGGGGCAGAGAACCGGAGCTCAGGGTGCAGGCTGAGAACCGGAGCTCAGGGTGCGGGCAGAGAACCGGAGCTCAGGGTGCGGGCAGAGAACCGGAGCTCAGGGTGCGGGCAGAGAACCGGAGCTCAGGGTGCGGGCAGAGAACCGGAGCTCAGGGTGCGGGCAGAGAGCCGGAGCTCAGGGTGCGGGCAGAGAATCGGAGCTCAGGGTGCGGGCAGAGAACCGGAGCGCTGGGGGTGCGGGACAAAGGACCGGAGCGCTGGGGGTGCGGGAAAGAGGACCGGAGCTCAGGGCGAGGGACAGAGACCGAGCGCTGAGGGCGGGGACAGAAGAAACCGGAGCGTTGGGGTGCGGGAAGAGGACCGGGGCGCAGAGGGCGCGGGACAGAAGACCGGAGCGTTGGGGGTGCGGGAAAGAGGACCGGGGCGCAGAGGGCGCGGGACAGAAGACCGGAGCGTTGGGGGTGCGGTAAAGAGGACGGGGCGCAGAGGGCGGGACAGAAGACCGGAGCGTTGGGGTGCGGCAAAGGGACCGGGGCGCAGAGGAGCGGGGAACAGAAGACCGGAGCGTTGGGGGTGCGGGAAAGAGGACCGGAGCGCGGGCGGGGAGAGACCGGAGCGTTGGGGGTGCGGGAAAGAGGACCGGGCGCAGAGGCGCGGGACAGAAGACCGGAGCGTTGGGGTGCGGGAAAGAGGACCGGAGCGCAGAGGGCGCGGACAGAAGACCGGAGTTTGGGGTGCGGCAAAGAGGACCGGGCGCAAGGCGCGGGAAACAGAACCGGAGCGTGGGGTGCGGCAAAGAGGACCGGAGCGCAGAGGGGCGCGGGACAGAAGACCGGAGCGTTGGGGTGCGTGAAAGAGGACCGGAGCGCAGAGGGCGCGGGACAGAAGACCGGAGCGTTGGGGGCGGCAAAGAGGACCGGGGCGCAGAGGGCGCGGGACAGAAGACCGAGCGTTGGGGGTGCGGCAAAGAGGACCGGGGCCAGAGGGCGCGGGACAGAAGACCGGAGCGTTGGGGGTGCGGGAAAGAGGACCGGAGCGCAGAGGGCGCGGGACAGAAGACCGAGCGTTGGGGGTGCGGGCAGAGGACCGGGGCGCAGAGGGCGCGGGACAGAAGACCGGAGCGCAGAGGGCGCGGGACAGAGACCGGGCGCAGAGGGCGGCGGAAAGAGGACCCGAGCGCAGAGGGCGCGGGACAGAGGACCGGGGCGCAGAGGGCGCGGGAAGAGGACCGAGCGCAGAGGGCGCGGGACAGAGGACCGGGGCGCAGAGGGCGCGGGAAAGAGACCGGGCGCAGAGGGCGCGGGACGAAGACCGGAGCGTTTGGGGGTGCGGCAAAGAGGACCGGGGCGCAGAGGGCGCGGGACAGAAGACCGGAGCGTTGGGGTGCGGGCAGAGGACCGGGCGCAGAGGGCGCGGGCAGAAGACCGGAGCGCAGAGGCGCGGGACAGAGGACCGGGGCGCAGAGGCGCGGGAAAGAGACCGGAGCGCAGAGGGGCGGACAGAGGACCGGGGCGCAGAGGGCGCGGGAAGAGGACCGAGCGCAGAGCGCGGGACAGAGGACCGGGGCGCAGAGGGCGCGGGAAAGAGGACCGGAGCGCAGAGGGCGCGGGACAGAGGACCGGGGCGCAGAGGGCGCGGGAAAGAGGACCGGAGCGCAGAGGGCGCGGGACAGAGGACCGGGGCGCAGAGGGCGCGGGAAAGAGGACCGGAGCGCAGAGGGCGCGGGACAGAGGACCGGGGCGCAGAGGGCGCGGGAAGAGGACCGGAGCGCAGAGGCGCGGGACAGAGGACC